GTGTTTTTTCGAGCCGATCTATAGGCTCCAATGGGAATAAGAAGATCACAACACTAGGGATGGGAATCTGGACAAGAAGGGCTATACTGAACATTAGTAATAATTGTCGGCCTCTAGTTGGTCCAGATGGTTCAAATATCGCGAAATATTGCCCAAGCTCAGAATATAAATCCACAGAAAGTTAGTTTTTCGTGGAAGTTGTGTAGGGTATAATATGGTCGGCCCCGTCCGACTATACTGCTCCGCTCACTGATTTTGACTTCACATTTTCTGAAATAAAAGGACGTAACTACAACACAATTGTAGTACAACAAAGTGACTAATAATTATCCGATTGAGACTAAAATTTGTACAGCGTACCAAATTGAGTCCGGAGTGACGGTTGTTAAGTTTTTTTTTGAAATCGGTTCAGATTTAGACATAGCTCCCACACATATTTTCGTCAGATTTTGTGTAAATGGCGCATTAAAGCCAATTTATTTCTTTCGATTTTCACGAAATTTTGCATAGCGTACTAAATTGAGTCTAGAGTGATTTGTGTGAAGTTTCTTAAAAATCGGTTCAGATTTCGATATAGCTCCCATATACAGCTTCGACCGGTTTTATGTAAATATTTCTCCGATAGCGATAAAACGTTGCACAGGGTACTTTTCCACCCAGTGGGAAACACAAATACATGATTATAGCTGATTATTTAAAAAAATAAAAAAAGCCTTAAATTTGGGATACCGCTATATGGGGGCTACCGTAAAAAATTGGCCGATATGTCTCATTTTCAATATCAAACATCCCAGAAGTAACATTAATATATGTTCAGCATTTCTATCTTCAGTATTGCGAATTTCTTTAATAAGATCGCTGTTTTTGGCGTGAGATGTCAAAATTTTTGTGTGAACATGTAGTTTGATTAGACGAACAATAATTAAACAAAAAGTAAATTTCGAATTTTTCTGTAGTTACGTCCGTTTGCATTTATGATGATGATATATTAGGTCATCCAGTAAGGCCAGCTGTTATTTACATTTTAGTAAAAAAAAATATCCTAAAATACTCAAAATGTTCATCAAATATGCTGAAAAGTCAATTATTTATTAAAATTAAAATTAAATTTTGTTGAGCGCGTTTCAAAAGTGGAAAATAAATCGAAATTTTTTCAAAGACATTTTCGCCACAACAACAAATTTTGGCAGAAAATGTAGATACAGGTTTGTGTATGTCCCGAAATTCGCCTTCTGTATGATCTGATATTTGAGACATGTTATATAATTGATTTTTTAATCCACTACTATGTATCCATATTTTGACATAGCCCCCTTATAAAAATTGAGCAATGGCCTTGAACATACCGAAGTCCTCCTGCAGGCAGGCTAGAGTGATTACAACATATAAGCGAACATGTTTAGAGTGGCATAAAATTTTACGGTCATAGCCCGATTTTCCAATATGAGAGGCAGTAGAAAGATTAATTATCAATTTACTGATACTGACTTTATGAAACAATATTTTTCTCTCTCTCTCTCTCTCTCTCTCTTTCTTTATACCTCCACCACAACTTGTTGTGTATCCAAATATTTACCTGAGACCCAATATATATTTTTGATCAGAATAAAATAATATGTCGATTTAGCGATGTCCAACTGTCTGCCCTAGGATTTTTGGTATTGCAAATGGAATATATTGATCCACTTTTTATCATGTTACTCCCAATATTCGGTATCTTGAAGCTTTAGGGCACTTATTTCAATCAAATTAGCTGTAATTTGGTATTTCGGCTCTCAATTGGTAATCCTGCTAAAAATTATTAATATTGATCCACTATATAGGATATAACGCTAAAGTTTTTTATGTTTTTGGGAATTTCGACAATATTTTGGACTCTAAAAAATTAACAATATTCGCCCCAGTACCCTCCATTATTTCCGTATTTTCGGGGCTTGGACACGTTATTCAACCGAATTAACTCAAATTTTATTTTTCAGTTTTTCCTATCGAAAATAATTAATATGGCTTCACAATTTGGTATAGCATATATAATTCCAATTTTTGATAAATACTCAAAATCAGGACTGTTATATAGGGGCTACCAGAAAACATGGACCTACGCCGATAAATTTTTGCGTGTATATTTTGTACACATTGAGAACAAAATTTTCGATTTGTACTAAATTTGGCAAAACGTACTGAATTGAGCCTAGAGTGATGTCTGCCAAGTTTCGAGCAGATCGGCCCAGACTTAGATATAGCTCCCATATATAGTTACGTCCGATTTCATGTAAATGGTGCACCAAAGTCCCTATATATCCTTTGATTTGCGCGAAATTTGTCATAACGTACTGAATTGAGCCTAGAGTGATGTCTGTCAATTTTTGAGAAAATCGGTCCAGACTTAGATATAGCTCCCATATATAGTTTCGTCCGATTTCATGTAAATGGTCCCAAAGTCCCTGTATATCCTTCGATTTGCACGAAATTTGGCAAAACGTACCGAATTGAGCATAGCGTGATGTCGGTCAAGTTTCGCGAAAATCGGTCAAGGTTTAGTTATAGCTCCCATATATATTTTCGTCCGATTTAATGTAAATTTAGTCCAGAATGATGTGTGTCGTTTCACATTTAGATAAATATCACATATTTTATTTTATCCAATTTCATGTTAATAGTCCTGTTTAATATACCCATAGTGGTGAAGGGTATCATATAGTCGGCACCGTCCGACTTTACTACTTTCCTTACTGGTTTTTTATTTAGTTCAACTATATATGTACTTCACGCAGTTAATTTTGTACGTTTCTATTTCAATGGTCCTCCAAAGATGGTATGTCTGTTCTATCTAAAGGATCTCTTATATGTGCCCAAAGTTGCGAAGGGTATCATTTTGGTGGCCTCTTCCGACTTTTGAACTTTCCTTACTTATTTTTTTTTAATTCTTCAATGTCAGTTTGAGTGTTCACCTTATCGCGTATTCACTGTATTATAAAACTATCCATTTTGAATAGATTTGATACCAGCAACCCGGAAAGTGGGTGTAAGATGTTGTATTGTCAATTCAATATAAAATACCCAAAAATTGTTATTTACCCAATTTACCGGGTATTTACAGGCTAATATCCTAGACAGACGACAGCCTTAATTTGCATTAACAGCCTTAATTCAAATTAACTTGTACATTATCCTCATTTTTATGTGTTGTTAATGCACAAAATCAAACTGAATTTATACTGAATTAGACAATTTCAATATGACAATGCTGTCGAAAATTATTTGTTTCTTGTCAAATATATTTATGTTTACGAAAATAAAAATAAGAAATGAAGGCAAATTTCAACCATTTTTTTAAATTGGGAGCTGTTTTGCTAAGATCATAGTTGATATTCCTCCTTTATGTCATGTATATATTTCCTAAAGATGTAATCCCGAAAAATATCGAAGCAAATGTAAAAAAAATTCATCCTACACACAGACAAACAATTGTTTTGAAGCAAAAAACTGTTTCGTAAATGCAGAAACTCTCGTCTGTCAGGGGTAAATATTAATATTAAATATTAATTCAAATTAAGAAATTTTTAATGCAAATTAAGGCTGTCGTCTGTCTATGGTATAATATCAAGAAAAAAAACTCCCATACCAATGTCCCGTTTAATTATCGGTTAGTTGAAGTTTCTACCGCATTTTTCCCAAACTGAGTTGCTGTAACTTGGAACAGAGCACGAACAACCTACTATAATATAACATAGTCCTCATATAAAGGTCCCAACCAATTAGGGGAATTTTAAATGCACACCACCACGTTTTTGTTGTTGATTTTTCAAATATTTAAAATTTTCTCAAAATACCGTTATTTCCATCTGAATGCCGTCTTTCATATTATTTGGATCGGATTAAATAATAAATTCCCTCAAAAAGATCATATCACCTTCCAAAAAATATATTAAAAAATAATAAAAACAAAAATAAAAACTTTGGTGTTGTATAAAATGCAACAAATTTATTCACAATTTTATGTTTTGTTTTAGTAACGCCATTACATATTCTTTTTTTCTGCACAATCGAGCGAGAGTTCGATAAGATCATCATACTAATAAGAACAAGGGTTAAATAAACAAAAATAACAATTATCGTATTCAATAATTGTAATCGTTCACAGCAAAATGTGTGTCAAGTTCCTAAGTATCATTTTTACACTACCACTTAAAAGTATGCAACAAGTGACAATTGATTACATCTTATGTAGGTGTGTGGAGTGGAGTAATGCAAAATATATATGCGGATCCTTTCGATTAAATATATATGAATATTGGAATTGTGAATTTCAATGTGTATTTGTAAGTGGCTACAGAAAGTCATTGCTTATATACGACATATCTTTTTTTGGATTTTCAGCATTTTTTCTTAAATTTGTTTTTGTCAGTAGATTTTGTTTTTGTTTTTACAATGTAATTACTAAATAATATACTTTATAATTATATATATGTATGTATATATCCATAATTGATTATTATTGTTTTCTTTGTTTTTATTTTTTAATATATATATAATTTAAATAATACATAAAAAATTATTATTATTATTTTTTAAAATTCTACACAAAAAAATAATTAAATATTAATATTGTTTTTAGTCCTCATTGCATTTTTGATGATTTTGTTTGTTGTTGTTGATTTTCTTTTTTATTTTTTTCTATAAAATAAGTTCAAAAAGATCGTTCACTTTGTTTTTGTTTTGTTTTCTTGGATTTTATTCATTTCAGTCCACCTGTCCGTTATGGGTCTGTCATGGAAGTCATTTAGGTGTCGAATAAAATGGTCTCATTACTAGATCACTATATGTGGATTTTTTGTTTCATTTTTTTCTTCATCATCAACATCATCTTACATTATGTTATCATAAATATGTATGGGTGTGTGTGTAGGTATGTGTATCATTATTCGTAATAATAATAATTATTATAATATAAATATAAAGTATGATTCGGGATTTGTGTTCTTTTTAAGGGTCTTGTGTTTGGTTTAATAGGGATATAGACTTTTCCGCTTAAGTTCCATATCAAGATCAGCCAATTGTTGTAGGAAACCATCATTGGGATGAATATCACGATGCATGCGAACTTTGCGTATGGCCTCGACAGCTGTCATTTTCCGGCAAATCATAAGATAGGCCAGGACACAGGTTGCCGAACGAGACATACCGACCAAACAGTGCACCAAAACTCTGCCTGTAATATTTTAGAAAAAGAGATTAGTCATGACATCCAAAATGTAGAATCATCTTATTTACCTCCACTGCTCAGTGCATTGTCAATGAATTTGGCGGCCACATAGAAATAACGTGAAATATCTGTTGTTGGAGCATCAACCATTGGGAAGCCCATATACCTGAAAATAGTGTCTTTGTTTTTTCTTCTGCTCTCACAATAATATATTCAAATAAAAATATACGCGTTTGATGGTTTTCCACACCGGATGTTAGAGTATGTGTGTGTGTGAGAAAAATATAGTATTTACATGTGTGTGTGTTTTGTGGTATTTCGTGATTATGGAGATCGATTCAAATGCAATATTTATTTACAATGCAAATGAAAAGATTGAAAATGCCATACGAAAATCAATAAATACATTTTGAATATATGTTGAGTAAAAATCATGGTTGTTGTTGTCGTTGTTGTAAATTCAGTGTAATAATCGGCGTGTGTATATGGTAGGTGTTTGCAAGAAAATATGAAAATAAATTTTGAAAAATAAGTTAATAACCAAAAATTATAAGACACTATTACATGTATACGGAGTTGTTTTGGTTTGTTAAGGTGGTCAGACAATTATTTAAAAAAACGAAACGTCCGTAGGATATACAATGTACAACTAAATTCAAGTTATAGCAAGCAACATCTGATAACGATACCACAGAGGTTTAATGTCTCGTTACTTGTCAAATTTTCAGAAAAAATATTCTCGTGCATCCATCACCAGAATTTCTGGGTCTTCTAAATACACGTCCAGGGGTTCGACTGTTAAAGATTTTATTTATACCCAAAAAGTGGGTAAATACCCAAAATCGGGACCGAGATATAGAGTCTAATAGTAACCGTAGACCTACGTCAACAAATTTTTGTATGGATTTTTGGTACCCATAGAGAACTCCCTGTGCCAAATTATGCCAATTTGATAGTAAAATGTGTCTAATAGACAAAAATTACCTTAAATCGGGAGATGCGGTAATATGGGCGTTATATCAAAAGATGAACCCAGAGACCCCATTTTCCATTTAGTTTTGACATTAAAACATGTGAGGTAAATTTTGGCCGGCTATGTCAAGTGGATCGCCAGTTAATAAGTTTATTACCAATTTTTGAATAAATACTCAAAATGTATGAGGGCTACCGGAAAACGTGGACCTACATTGATAAATGTTTGATTGTAAAATGTGACACTAATTACCCTAAATCGGGAGGTACGATTATATTGTGCTATATAAAAACGTGGACCCATATATCCCATTTCCCATACCAGTATTAGCATTGACATTAAAAACATGAGAACTAATTTTTCACCGTTTATATCAATTGGTTCGCCACTTAATGATTTTATACCCAATTTTTGGGTAAATACTCGGGTATTTACCCAACCCGGAAACCCGGAAATAGGGCGTTATAGTACGTTTACATTATTCCGGATTTCGTTAACCCACTGGGTTTCAATTGTCAATTCCATTGTATACATTTCAAATAAATCCTCATAGGGTAGGTTAACCCGGTAAAAAGTTCTAATGTAAATGCCGTTTAAGATTTTCCATTACCTTTTCAATATAGTAAATACTCAAATAAATACCCGCAAATCGGTCTTTACGCACCTCTTGGGTATTTACCCAGTAAATACCATCTCTAATCATTATACCCTACACAACTATGTTTTCAGAGTATTACAGCTTTGTGCAGCCCCAAAAGTTTGTAACGCTGCGAAATATTGGTCCTAGACCCACCTTTAAGTATACCGATCGTCATATCACGACTAGCTGAGTCGATCTAGACATGTGTGTCCGTCCGTCCGTCCGTCCATTATAATTCGTAAACATAATACAGGCCACAGTTATGGACCAATCTTCACGAAATTTTGCATGTAGGATGGGTTCTGGCCAATGAAGACCCCTACCCTTACCACTGAAGGACATAGACCCGAAAAGTTGATAGTATATCCAATAGGAGTGGCTGACCTTTAATTGATACCAATTATATTGTCGTAGGTACTCGGATGCGGGAGTTACACTTAAATATTTACAGGTGCTTACGTATTCATATATTATTTAGTAACCTATTTCCACACTGGAGGGTGGAAATATAGCGCTGATCGCTTTGAAATGTTCGGATGAAGTGGACCGAACACTTAATTATTTGTACTTTTCGAGTCGAAAGCCGAACATCACAACACAACGCACGGTGAAGGGAATCTGGACAAGTAATTAGAGGTGCTCTACTGATTATTAGTAATATTTGCTGACCTCTAGCCAGTCAAAAGTGTGCAAATATCGCGAAATATTTGTTCAATCTCAGAATATAGAACCACAGAAAGTTAGATTTTCATGGAAGTTGTGTAAGGTATTGTATGGTCGGCCCCGTCCGACTATACTGCTCCGCTCGCTGGTTCTTATTATTATAGCCCTCGTATAGGAATATATATAGTAGATCTAATTCGTATTGTTCGTACAGTGGTAAACATTTAAGATAATTATGTAAGGGTGCTTCTCTAAATCAGAACCGATTCAATTCAAATTGGAATTTATGGTCTGAATGGTGGAAAGTTTGTTGTTTGTTTGTGTTTAAGTTTGTGATTGGCCATATACTATGAGCAACATCTTTACAGCTGATTTTCGATATCCGTCCTCCTTTTTACACACAGTGTTTTTAATACCCACCAGGCCCGTTTAATATTTGTTAAAGTTCCTAGTTTAGTTTTTCAACCTAAGGGTCGATAATTTGGTATTTCAAACAACATATTTCCATTATATAGGTCCCGACCGATTTAAGGAATTATGAATGCACCCCACATAGTGGATAGAAAAAGTTTGGTTCGGTCGACGAAGACGAGATTTGTTGACATACAGGTATTTTAAATGTCGCTTATAAGACTTTAAATAGGGTACTCGAAAGTCCGTTTGTAACACCTCGAAATAATCACTGAAGACCCCATCAAGTATATATTCATGATAAGAATAAAATTCTATGTCGATTTATGCCTGTACGTCTGTCTATCTATGAAATCACGACAGGGCTCGCAATATTTAAATAGAGCTCTGACATTTTTCAATTTCAATTTATTTATTTCTTCGTTAATGGGAACCTAGCCACAAGGCCATGATCGGTTCCAAAAACCACTATACATCTACTACTCCAAAAAATACACATTACTATAAATCCTAGAATGTAGTGTAGCCCTCATATAACTATACCCTCAAATATTCGGTATTATGGTAATTTTTCCAAGGATAATCCACTTTTACCGGTACTGCCGATTATTCGGTGTTTGGGCGAATTTGAGCACGTTTTTCAATCAAATTGACTACAACGTGGCACGTTGAGTTGTCATTGGGTGACACATCTTCCTACCAATAACCATCAATGTTGGTCAACTTCTTACGATAGCCGCCATATAACGGTACCCCCCATTTTTCGATACTTTTAGTAGTTGAGCCAATTTTTTAGTTGAATTGGCTGTAATTTGGTACTTTAGGTAGCAAATATCCCTACCAAAAATTATCGATATCAGTCTACTTTTTATGGCTATCCTAAATCTTAGGGCTATCCTATCTCCTTTAACGGTACCCTCATTATTCGGTACTTTGGGGAGGTTGGACACGTTTTTTAATTGAACAGCCTCCAATTTAGTGTTCATTGGGTGTCAAATCTTTCTATCAAAAATGTTCTCATCATTTATGAAGGTTCCGAACGATTACCTCATGGTGGAGGGTATAAAAAGCAACGTAGCAACATTTTTTCTTGTCATATATTATAATTGACAGTATTCCAATTTTTACCCGATATATCTATGTATTTTAATTACGTCAGAACCGTACTTTTATTTAAAAATTTGTACCGATTAACCATGTGTGTATATCATCACCCAAATCATATTGTGTTATTTGAAATTTCAATTGGGGAGAACTTGGACCAACAAAATGGGCATGAAAACTCACAATCTTCACGACCCATAATTCTTTTATTTAGAATATTCGGTTTGATCCAACCTTTTTTGACATCGTAACATTCAAAACAAGTCCGAAGATATTTTTGTTGTCAGGCCTTTTCAACCTTGTGAAAATTGTTCCTCAATCTCCAAAATCTAAAGAAAATTTATAAATCAAGTTTTTAATCCTGCCAGATACGGTCCTGAAGGAATTTTCCATCCTGGATATCTGTTATTTAGTACTTCGGTTTTACATAGAACAAAAATGTATTCGCAATAATTGTAGGTCCGTGTTTTAACATAGCCCTCAAAAAATGGATCGGCGCGTCCGACTTCAAAGTCATTTTTACTTGCTCTATATATCCCATCTTAACAAACTCCAACAAATCAACATGTATACTTGTGTATAATTAAATTTAAAGAACACACAAATTAAACCAACAGAATATTTATAATTTCTTTTGTAATTAGTTAATGAAAAAACAAATGAGTTAATCAAATGTGAATGTTACACCGACTGACTTGACTGACTGTCGTGAGTGAGTGAGTGACAAATGAATGATATTTGAAAACTTTACCTTATGCTTGGCATATCACGATAATAGCTGTGCCCTGTATCAACTTGGCCATAACGACAACCTTCGGCGGCATTTAAGACGTGTGTAATACCTTTCATGCGCAGGAAAGTTTTATTTTTCGCCGATGCTCTGTATTCACGTATGTGTGTGTGCGTGTGTTGGTGTGCCGAAAAGAAAAATAGCACAGAATGAAATTAAATATGAATTACATGTCACTTAAGTAAAGCACGAGCCGCAATGACGACAACGACGGCGGCAGTTACTTACGCATCACCAATATAGATGCCGGGATAAACTTCATCACAGTCAACATCATGAATGGCACATTCGGATCTTAAGGGTCCTTGCATGCATGGTGTCATCGAATAGTGGAGGACACGTTGCAATTGGCGTCCTGTGGTATGTTCACTTGAAGTGCCGGCCGCTGTCTCCAGACGACTGGGCGACTGTAAATACAGAGAAAATAAAACAGAGACAATCAAAAAAATGAAATTATTCTCTTCATATACAACAAATTACGCAGGCATACATGTGTGTATGTACGACAACAAAATAATTATGATATGTGCTATAATTCACATGCCTTGGTCATGGTAATAATTCATCTAGCCATGGGCAAAAAATCCCCATTGACATTGGCAACGAAAACAAAAAAAAAACGCAGAAAACAAAAAGAAAATTCACCACTAACATGTGATGACATTCATATTCATACGAAAGAAGAGGCATTACAAAGTCAAGTCCGATGCCAAGATGTCATGCAAAATAGATTATATGTATATAAATGTATGTATGTAAATCCTTCCAAGTCCACAGATGAAATACTGTGGCCATGCATGAGATCAGTGGATTTTTGCTAAGGGCATAAGGAAATAATATAACAACAACCGAAAAAAACCCTGAACACCAACAACAATGCCAACAAAAGAAAAACAATTGCATTCAATGTCAGTGTGACAATGGCAATGACAATGATGTGTCATTGACAAGGCAGTATAAACCGAAGGGTTTAACTATTTAATAATTATACTTAGGAATTAGCAAGGAAATAAACCGAACCGAATCCCCAGTATCCACATTCGAGTGTAATAGAAGTTTTCACAAATTATTCAATCTCCAGAAGAACTTCAATATTGAAACCAGTTAGAATAAATGAGTTAATCATCATATACAAAATTTTGTGTTGATCTTTAGTGCACCATTTACATAATTTTTACTGCTATAAATCGACTGAAATAATTTATGATTCATATATATATGCGAACGTTCTCATATCAATTCGGCTACATCTGCTTAATTTTTGGTAGCTCATATAACAATCTGAACAGATTTACATACATTTAAATAGGTTCCGCCTATGGACATAATAAAATAAGCCAAATTTAAGGGGACCCCACCCATTCTCGATTTCCAATTTCGACAATTTTCAACCGATTGTCAAATGAGGTCAATACTTGTAACTATGTATACGTGTATTTGAAGATTTAAAAATACCTTCTTTTTGACGGCGGGCAAATGATTTTTTTCACGATTAAAGTTGAGAATCACTCTTGCCGTCACTTGATGCACACACAATAAATCGGTAATATCCTCAAGACTTGTTGAGATTTTTACTAGAAAATTTACGGAGACATTCTTGTGTTCAAATTAAATTCTTATGTTCAAATTAAATACAAATATCGATTTTGTGAAACCGGGAAATGAGGGGTAGGTCCCCTTAATGGCAACAACTAAAAATATCGTGGGACCGGAAAAAAACGGCCAGGAGAAATAAAATTCCAAACTACAGACATTCAAGATCTCGAACCTCAAACACACCGAAAATGACGAGTAAATGTTCTATAAAGAAAGGGTAGACATCGAGGTTTTATTCACTTCATTTGGAAAATGCGGCCAGAGACATTTATATGGAGAGACTAGACATTTATATGAGGATAACCCAAAATTTCACATAAGGAGCAAGTGTATCGTTGTATGAGGCTGTACCAAAATCAATAATGATATTTTTTGGTAGGAAGATTAGCCACGCACTGAGTACCAAAAATATATAATGACTTGTAATTCGGTTGAAATGCGTTCCTGAAAACCTCAGTAAACCGAATATTATGTGTACGATCATATGAGGGGTAGCTTTGTGCAGACCCAAGAGTTTGTAACGCCGCGAAATATTAGTCCTAGACCCACATTTAAGTCATATTTCGACTAGCTGAGTCGATTTAGACATATGTGTTCGTCCGTCTGACTATCCATTATAATTTGTAAACACGATATAGCCCACAGTTAGGGACCAATCTTCACGAAATTTTGCATGTAGGACCAGTTCTGACCAATGAAGACCCTATTGTTTTTGGTAATAATTTTATGCGATGAAATGGACCAAATACTTAATTTTTACCAGTTTTTCTGGTCGCTCTAGAGGTCCAATTATGACCCGAACATCATATATTTTTTTTCCTCAAGGACATAGACGGAGAAGTAGACAGTATATCCAAATTTAAATTTTTATCAATTATATTAAAATTTTACACGGTGAAATATATAGATCGGCTGTTTAGATGATTTTCGGTCAATATTCCGAGGGTCAAATCAAACAAAACCTAAAGTGACCACATTTTTATTTTATCGTGTAAATATTCACCTCGGGAAAAAAAGGTTTGGAAAATATGCCAGGTTTAGAAAGTGGAGCTGTTGACCTATAATTGGTCAAAGGGTACAAATATCGCGAAATATTGCCAGGCTCAGAATTTAAAACCACAGAAAGTTAGATTCTCATGATAGTTGTGTAGGGTATCTCATGATCGGCCCGTCCGCTCACTGATTTTTATAGGGAAATTATCTACCCAGAGTGGATTTAAAAAAGTAAGGAAAGTTCAAAAATAGGACTGAGCCGACTATATGATTTTGTTTATGCACAAAAGATGATCCGAAGATTCTTATTCTAGGGTATATTGTAGATATAGACCGATATAAACCGAGTAATGTAAAAAATTTCATAGCTAACGGAAAATTGTTGGCTACATGGTGCACCATTCAGACGAATGGGAGATATATCAAAATCTGGGAGTTTATATCTAAATCTGAACCGATTTCAACGAATATTACAACACATCATTCTTAATTTGATACGATATGCACAAATTCGTGTAAATCGAATTTAAAATAGGGACTTTCGTGCATCATTTATATAAAATCGGACGAACATATATATAGGAACTATATTTAATTTTGGACTGATTTTCACTCATCATTTTTGACTCAATACAGAACGGTATTTATTTTAATTCTATTCACATTTTCAAAATTAATTATGGGTATATCTCGTTTCCTTTTGCCTGTTACAAACAAATGTACAAATACATAACACTGTACCACAGTGTGGCGAATGGTATAAATACCAAATTACAGGCATACGGTTGTAGAACTAACAGCCTGTTTTTGTAAAATTCCAAACGAACGAATTCGAGTGACTTATGTTTTCCGATTCAAAACAAAAATAAATGACATATTTTTCAAAACCAAGGAGTTTGGTCCAAGTCACTCGAATTCGTTCGTTTGGAATTTTACAAAAACAGGCTGTAAAACTCCCAAAATACCAACATTTGGGAGGTATCGTAATATGTTGAGGTGGGGTAAATGTAATGACATATTTTTTATATGGAAGGTATAAGAACGGCTGGGCAGAGGACTGCGCCGATCGGTTCACAGCCGGCTGAGCCGAGCCGCCGATAAAATTCAAAAGCCGCCGCCGCTGAAATTTTGTTCGGCTTCAATCGGCTTAAATACAGCCGCCGTTTTATGTTCGTTATAACAAAAGTCTGTTTAAGTGTGCATTAGTTTTTATTCTTCACCACACTGTGGTACAGGGTATTATGTCTTTGTGCATATGTTTGTAACAGGCAAAAATAATCGAGAATATGCATAGAATCACTTTCTGAGTCGATCTATGCATGTCCGTCCGTCCGTCCATTTATTTTTGTGAGCAAAGTACAGGTCGCATTTATGATCCGATTTGGATGCAATTTGACACAGGTCACTTAATTGGCCCAAGGACGAACCCTATTGAAATTGGGAAAAATCAGATTTAGATATAGCTTCCATATATATTTACGTCCGATTTTAGTTAAATAGTGCACCAAAGTCCCTGAAAATTATTATATTTGCACGAATTTTGGCATAGCGTACTGAATAAAGTCGACAATGATGTGTGTTAAATTTCGGGAAAATCGGTTCAGATTTAGGTATAGCTCCCATATATAGTTTCGCCCGATTTTAGGTAAATGGTGCACCAAAGTCCCTGAAAATCATTAGATTTGCACGAATTTTGGCATAGCGTACTGAATTAAGTCGACAATGATGTGTGCTAAATTTCGGGAAAAGCGGTTCAGAGTTATATATAGCTCCCATATATAGTTTCGCCCCATTTTAGGGAAATGGTGTACCAAAGTCCCTGAAAATCATTAGATTTCCACGAATTTTGGCATAGCGTACAGAATTAAGTCGGCAATGATGTGTGCTAAATTTCGGAAAAATCGGTTCAGATTTTGATATAGCTTCTACATATATATTTTCGTCCGATTTTACACAAAATTTACACAAATTTTGCACAACGTACTAAAGTTTTGATATGTGGAGAGTTCTGACATCGGTTCAGATTTGGATAGAGCTTCTATATATATTTCCTCCCGAGTTTTGGTCATTTTGTCCCATTGTAAGAAGCAACCCTATATCTGAACAAATGAAAAATTTAGTATAGGTTGCAGAATTCTAGGTCTGTTAGCATTCATCTGTTGAATATACCCAAAGTGGTGAAGGGTATCATATAGTCGGTCCCGCCCGACTTTACTACTTTCCTTACTGGTTTTCTATAAAAAAATATGAAATATTTAATTTTTTTATAAAATACGTATTTATATATTTATTAATTTTTATCAATCAAACTGATGTGATATATGATATGAATCCTCCATTAAAAATGATTTTTTTAACTATGTGTAAAAATTTTTATAGAAAATAAATGAAATATTTTAATATTTATATGAAATACGTATTTTATGTATATATTTATTTTTATTATTAAAATTGGTGTGATATAATATGAATTTGTATTTATTTTTGATTTTTAAAAACGAAACAATTTTATGTCTTTGACATCGGCTCACAGCCGGCTTTAAGCCGCCGCCGACATTTTTTAACATAAGCCGCCGCCGCCGACAAATTTTGCTCGGCGCAGGTCTCTGCGGCTGGGTCGATATTTTTTTCTGAACTAAATTCTTGAAGAAGCCAGAATGCTATTTTGGTGAGGAAATTCGGTTGAAACTTTTAAAGTACCGAAAATGGGTCGAGTCCTATATATATGAGCTACGTTAAAACATTGACTTATATCGAACATTTTCCTCAATATGTTCTTCACCCTCTAACATCCCGAAATGACAAATGGCAGCAATTGAAACACGTGCTATATGGAGTCTAACCAAAATTACGATATATAAATCTCATTTTTAATTCCATACTTACGAGAAAAAGTAGCATTATATGTGCACATTTTCAGAGTTCCATCATGATATTCGGCACATCTAAATTTTCGTTAATATCTAAATTTTAAATAATCATCGTAGAAAATGAAGCTCACGACTAGACCGACAGAGCTCCTTGAATATTCCAGCTTTAAACTATTTTGTCCTCTTTTTCGTTCTTGTACTATCATCATAACCTTCACATTTGATCCTGTTGCCAAAGTTCAAAAAAACTTGATTACACAAAACGTTAACTTCCAATTTGACTTTACTCATTTTTACTAAGTCCCTCCCTCACAAAATCCCGCCATAATTTATATTATTTCCAAATTACATTTTAAATTTTTTTATATTAAAAATCTAAATGAGCTTGTCATTGCACTTGTCACACATATGACAATATGAAAGCCTAACAAAAGAAAAACACCATGTTCCCTCTTCGGCATCATCATCCTCCTTCTTCTACGCCTCCTGTGATTTTCATTCATGCACACTTTCACTTTCTAATGTTTGCATCTACATCAGGGTTAGCCAACAATACATATGCAAACTGCTATGATTGTGTTGGACACACGCATAGATCCGTTGGGAGAGTAATTTTCGTTCTCTCGGTACAGATCGCATATGTTAAAGCATTGCAAAGCATACGACATGTTCGATGTCGAGAATAATGTTGAGTTCGAACACAGAACTGTGATTGTATTGGTACTCTCTCAAAGCGCCCGCGGGCGCCTGTTTGGTGAACATTGATCTACATACATATATGTACAGTACAAAATGTTTTACAATGACCCTGAAAACAATGGCAAAGGCAGGGAAACAAGAATGCAATACAAAACAAACCTCTACTAATTTGTCGGATTTGTTTCTGTTGTCGTCGTTGTCTTTGTCTGTCTTTTGTGCCACTACTTTTCTGTTTCTCCTGTCGGCACAGTAGCAAAAATGGCATTTCGAGAATCTGTTTCGTTTTAATATGCCAATCGTCTCTATGTGTGTGTGTGTGTGTTTGTATGAGATATTCCTCCCTATTTTTTCAACAAATTCGCCACATTGCTCATTATTGGACCATGGCCAACATGTGACAACAACGTCGTAGTGTAGAATCAAGAAACCAAAAAACATGCAATCACACAAAAAAACTGATATGCAAATAACACGAAGTAACAGCGAAAGAAAGCCCAACAAAAATGCAAGAGGAAAAATCAAGAAAACAAGAAGTTAATTATATGCAGGAATTCACAATTTTGTTAGGTCCAAGAAAAAGAAAAAAGTGGACAAAAAAACCATGGTACATATAAATAGATTTTCATTTACAGTGGCCCAGGGGAGATATTTTGAAACATATTTTTAATACCATTGACTAGAAGGTGGGTAGTATATTAAATTTATCGTTTCGTGTGTAACATTTCAATATATTTGTCGAAGTCCCCATATTGCTCATATGCTGCATAAACCGGCATAAATCAAAAATCGTGATTTTTGAGTTAATTTGTTAAAACCGCGAACGATATCGCAATAGATAGAGCATTGCTGTTTTGAACTCCTAGGATGTTTGATATTGAATATGGGATATCTATTGGTCCCATATGAAGGTCCCATCCGATTTTAGGTATTTTATATGCAATATTGAATATAAGGCTTCGGAATTATGAGCACACCTAGGAAGGACCATCAGCTTTGAATTATTACACCCTTCACCACACTACAGGGTATTATGTCTTTTTGCATATGTTTGTGACAGGCAAAAGGTCCATTCACTTTTAAGTTGATTTATGCATGTCCATCCGTCTGTCTGTCTGTCAATGTTAAATTGTAAATAACGTTCAGGTCGCATTTTTGATCCGAATTGGATGAAATTTGGCACAGCTCATTTATTTGGCCCAAGGACGAACCCTATTGAAATTGGGAAAAATCGGTTCAGATTTAGATATAGCTCCCATATATATTTTCGTCCCATTTACGGTAAATGGTGCACCAAAGTCTTTATATAACTTTCGATTTGCACGAAATTTGGCATAGCGTACTAAATTAAGTCTAGAATAATGTGTGTTAAGTTTCGTGAAAATCGGTTCAGATTTATTTATAGCTCCCATATATATTTTCGCCCGATTTTAGGAAAATAGTGCACCAAAGTCCCTATATATTCTTCGATTTGCACGAAATTTGACATATAGTGTATCGAATTAAGTCTAGAATGACGTATGTTACGTTTTCGTGAAAATCGGTTCTCGCTTCACAAAATTGTGCACAACGTAGTGAAGTTCGTATAGCCTAACGTGTGGCAAGTTTCGTTCAAATCGGTTCAGATTTGGATATAGCTTCTATATATATATATATATATATATATTTTCCTCCCAAATGTCGGTACTTTTGGGAGATTTGTGGCACGTTTTCCAATGAAATTTCAATCCCTAACAAAAATTATCAATATTGGTATAGAAATCTCATTGGGAAAAGTGCCCAAATCTTCCGAAAATACCGATATTTGTAGAAGGTCTAAGTAATATTATCCGTAGAAAAGCTGTGGAAGGTATTTTATCCAGAGAAGACTTGAAACAATTCTTCCATCCATTGAATGCCTGTGTAAGCTCTTTAAGTTAAATATAGATTCCATCTATCTTATAAATAGAAACGAATATAAGTCTTTAATCGGTATCTGTATAAGAGCTGTTAGAGTGTTTTTATTCCACAGACGACTTGAGGAATGTATTTTATCCATAAGAGATCTAGCACTGCAGTCATCTCATAGAAGACCTTTTACAGACATTCTGTTTTAAATCACCTCTAGCGAGTCTTTTATTCACAGAAGACGTTTAAATTGTATTTTCCATAGAAGACCTGAAACATATCATCCGTATATAACATATAACTTTTACATTTCCAAGGTTATATCGTATAAATAAAATAAAACATTTTTGGTTAATATTTTTTTATTTTATCTATTATTTGCATTTAAAACAATTAGCTACGAAAAAAAAACACAAAATTCAAATAACAAAGCATTAGAAGAGCAAGAAGAACAGCAAAACAATTAACATATGATGGACACTTAGACAACGTGACAAAGGCGACAGACACCACTATAGCAGCAACAACAAATATGATTCACAACATTTTTATTTCAGCGCCTAAAAGCTGGCTTGTGTTATTTTTAACATTGTAAGCCTAATAATATACAATTCTTGTTTATTCTTGTAAAAAATGACATTCACAAGGTTAGAAGACGTATAATTTTTTTGTCATGTTGTTTCTAAGAATTATTAGCAAATACAATTTAAAAACGGAAAGCAATAAAACATGGGCGGTATTAAAAAAAGAACACGTGGTCACGTGCATTTTTTTGTCTAGCTTCATAACAGAAAATAGGAAAACAAAAGGAAACATAAACATGTGCCAACCTGATAATACAGAGTACTGTATCTGTCACTGATTGGAGTGTAAGATCTTTGGTAGGGAAGCTGTAAACAGAATAAAATTAAATAAATATAAAATTAAATAAATGTTTTTAAATAAAATAATAAGTACATTATTTTTTTTATAAATAAAAACAATAATCAAAATTCTTAATAAATAATATGATCAAATTGTATAAAAATAATAAGAAATAATTAAAATAAAGACATTTTCATGTGGACAAGAAATAATAATTAGAATTAAAAACAAGATCAAATATAGTTTTCTGATATTTTTGTGGAAAAACATTGAGTAAATATTTAAACAAGATGTAAATTCAAAAGTTGTATATATTCAAAATCACAAAGCATAGTATTTAATACCATCATCATTTATTATATGATAGGAAATTTACAGGATAGCAAATTGAGAATATACTGCAGTCTGTCAAAATCCATATGGGCTGGGCAAATAGATTAATTTTGTTTCATTAAAATTTTAATAGAACGGCAGAAAAAATGGGTTTCTTTCCTTATGAATATTAATTCTGAAAATAATATTGATGTGCTTAAAGGTGTGTTGGGATATTGATGTATAAATGTTACGACCCTTAGCATATATTATGTCTGATAACTCAAAATAATAATTTTGTCAGCGTGCAGATCGGCTCAAAATTTATGTATTTCCGCATTTCAGTATGTATTATATTTTAAATAAAAAACATTTTTTTGAATATTAATTTGAAACCAAAATAGAGCTGGCAATGGTCAAGATAGAACTTGATTTTTATTAATAGACAATTTACTATGACATAGCACAGAACATTTTGAATATCCAACTTATTAATGAGAACACCCTAAAGTTTATGTCATTTTTGCACCACACTGTGGTACAGGGCCCATAAAACACTTCAATTTTTGAGCATGAGTTTTAAGCATATCTGTCCGTATGTTCAAGTATTATTGTGGTACTGGGTCACAATAATTATCCAATTGAGATGAGTTATGGCTGATATCATTCTTTTGGGCCAAAGACGAATTCTATTGAAATTGAGAGAAATCAATACAGATTTAAATATCGTTGTATTATATATTTTCTTCCGATTTTGTGAAAATCCAATTTGGCACATAAACCGATTAGATGTAGGAAGAATCACCCAGTAAGGAAAGCAGTAAAGTCGGACGGGGACGACTATATGATAATATACCCACTATGGGTATATTAAACAGGACTGATGATGTTTATCTAAATGTGAATCTACCTAGATCTATCCATAAACATGTCATTTGTTTGTTACAATGGGACAAAGGTATGTATATCGACTTCAAACAAATATAAATAGGTCATCCGTTGGGCTATGTATGTACTTCTAGAAAACGCAACAACGTAATTCTATGCTCAATTTTGTACATTGTGCAAAATTTGATGTCAATCTGACTAACATGAGGAGTTTGATGCCCAATTTACTTAAAATCGGGCGAAAATATATATGGAAGCTCTATCCACATATTAAGCGATTTCAAGCAAACTTGTCACAGGTTAGGTTATACTAATTTTAGAACGTTTCCAGCCTATTGGTTCCTTGGTTCGTCAATTACTTAAAATCAATCTATAATAAAAGGGAGCTATATATAAATCTGGACCAATTTTCTCGAAACTTGGCAGACATAACTCTAGGCTCAATTCAGTACGTTATGCCAAATTTCGTGCAAATCGAAGGATATATAGAAACTTTGGTGCACCATTTACATGAAATCGGACGAAACTATATATGGGACCTATATCTAAATCTTGACCGATTTTCACGAAACTTTACAGACATCATTCTAGACTCACTTCAGTACATTATCCCAAATTTCGTGCAAATCGAAAGATATATAGGACTTTGGGGCACAATTTACATGAAATCGGACGAAACTATATATGGGAGCTATATCTAAATCTGGACATCATTCTAGGCTCAATTCAGCACGTTATGCCAAATTTCGTCCAAATCGGACGAAACTATATATGGGAGCTATATCTAAATCTAGACCGAATTTAACGAAACTTCACAGACATCATTCTGAACCTAAATGATTAGGCTGTACTAAATTTCGTGCAAATCAAAGGATATGTAGTGACCGTTTACATCAAATCGGTTAAATATATATATGGGAGCTATATCTAAATCTGAACCGATTTTTCCCAATTTCAATAGGGTTCGTCCTTGGGCCAAACAAATGAGCTGTGCAAAATTTCATCCAATTGGGAGCATAAATGCGACCTGTACTTTGTTTACAATTTAACATGGATAGACGGATAGACGGACAGACGGACGGACATGCATAAATCGACTTAGAAAGTGAATCTATGCATATTCTCAAAAGGAACCATGGGTCTATCTCGATTATTTTTGCCTGTTACAAACATATGCACAAAGACATAATGCCCTGTACCACAGTGTGGTGAAGGATATAAAAAGCGGGGTTCGACCAGATTGAACATTTTATAACCTCCACCAAAGGTACATTCAAAATTCTTTAAATCGATCGGAAGACTATAGTATTTTATTTTATGTATTAGGTTGTTCATGTTGTTCATATAGGTATAGTAGGTTGCACATACGTGGACAAAATTCCAATTTACAGACACTCAGGTTGGAAAATTGGAATGAAACTTGAGCATATCATATATTAAACGGTATATTTATATAGGGACCATTTGACATATTCAAATTAAAGCCATTTCGATAATAAAAAAACTTAGTTAAAAACATAATAATATTGAAATTGGTGCTGAATATATTAAAACTTGGACCAATATATAACATTTTCCACAAAAATGTGTGTTTATCCTCCAATATTCTACAATGCAAATTTACAACTACATTGGGAAAATGTGGTTAAAACCGTCAGAACCATGGCAATTGGGCTCCACCTCTATGTGGGCGCTATTTCATAACATAGACCTATATAGACAATTTGACAATTGACATAAAGCCAAATTACAGCCTCATGGGTTAGTACCATTATGTGGGAGCTACCGATATTGATCATTTTTGGTAGGAAGATTTAACACCCCATGAGAATCTAACAGCTAATTTAAGAGTCAATTCGGTTGGAAAACGCGGTAAAATCCCCCCAATATACCTAATAAGAAGGGGCATGGGACTATCCTAAAAAGTGAATCGATATATTCGATTTTCAATAACAAATATCCTAGGAGTAATATGTTACAAATTCAATATAAAAAATTTCAAAGATCTACCTTGGATATTGCGAACTTTATCGTGATTTCAACAGACAGAAGGATGTGGCTAATTCGACATGGAATTTTATTCTGATCATATATATATGCAAGCTTTAATCAAATGAACGAGATCGGTTATTAAATACATTACTTTGTCTGATACTTATGGCGCCGATACCTATGAATATATCGAATATACTTAAACGACAAAAATAATTTGAAAACCTCCTCCCACATAGTTACCATGCAAAATTTAATTTACAGGTAAATGTGCTGAAATATTTTCGTCTTTTTTCGTTCGCACCCCAAAATACTACACACCTTGTGGGACGGTCATAAAAAATGACCAAAACGTTGACGTTAACCTTGAAATTGTTTATTTTTTATGTTATTTTCAAAAAAAGTTTTTTCTTTTCTCAGAATAAAACAAATGTGTTCACAAGATAAAATACATATGTATGAATGTACATTCAACACATACACACTCAGGAGGAAAAACACCTTTTTCAAATTTAGTCTTAACAACATACCAAACAAAATAAAAAAAAATATCTTTCCACCCACAACTAATTTTGGGGTCGTCATTAATGGGTTAAAAAAATGTCCCACCTTTGTCGATTTTAAATTTGAAAAAAAAAAAAATGTTCACATCGATGTGAATGGACGACATTTGGCAATGGTTTCGAGGGAAAACAACAACAAAAATCTCAAAATAAAATTTATAAATTAGTGAGGATTATGGTTGCTAGCGAATGATGGTATTTAAAAATCATTTTAGAATTTATAGCGAATATTTTGTGTTATTTTTTACGATTTTATTTTTCTGTGTTAATTTATAATTAGCTCTTCAAAAACACAAAATGTTTTTTTTTTGTATTTGTAAACAACAAATATGTGCTTAATAGTTGGCATAAGATTTAGTTTGTGATCATTGGAATACGAGAGGTGTTAAAAATTTATTTCTATGTTTATTTTAGGAGATAAAACAAGTGAAAAAGCGTTAAGTTCGGCCGGGCCGAACTTTGGATACCCTCCACCATAGTTATACTGACAGATAAATGCAATGAAAATATAGGGAACATACCAAAAAGTGGGCACATGCCGATAATACCGATTTATGTAAACCATTATGTACATAAAATACAAACTTCGCCAATTTTTAATGGGGATTTTTCCTAAAATCTGTAAGATCCATAAAGTGGACTGATATTGATAACGCATTGTAGAGTATGAAATCCTCAAACTACTATAATTTAGATTACAAAGTTATATGAGGCTATGCCTAAAGAGGGACCAATATTGATTACATAGTGTAGGAAATAGTGAATATTTGGGGATATCATCATATGAGGGCTATGCCTAATTAATGACCGGTATATGCCAATTTTGAACCAAATATTTTAATTGTTTTTCTCAATTCTTTCCTTCAGGAGGTATCACGATATTGAGGATATGCCTAAATGTCTGCCGATATATTTCATTATCATCATGTTTGAGTTTTTTTATCACAATATCTTTAGAATGTGGAATGCTTACAACAGATGGCTAAATAGTCTTTGTAGGGTAAAAATTGACTATTCCCCGTAACGACTAACCAACCGCAACACACGGAACAAATCAGTAAACTATTTTAATATAAAAAAGGGGGTTATATGGGGACTACCCCTAAAAAGCGGTGAATATTAATAATTTTTGGTGGGGAGATTTGTTACCATATACGACTACAAATTACCAAATTTCAGCGAATTCGGTTGAAAAACGCGCTCAAGAACCTCAAAATATCGAAAATCGGGGGTACCCTTATATGAGGGCTGCCCGAAAAAATTGACCTATA